ACTTATGGGAAAGGTTTTATATGCGTCAACCAGTGAATCAAAAAATTTGGGAATCTAAACTGCACACAGTAAATTGCCTAATTTGTCCTAGAATTTATGGTACTTTGAACAATCCAAACCAATAGTATTGCCCGGTTATCAATGAGACGTATTATATCCAGACAATCAGGAAGAACACACAGTTGACGCATTTAAAAAGCAGTGCAAGAATTGTGGCCAAGTTCTTAACAAATTTAAGAAATATAAATACATTTATTTCTTTATATTTTTTGGCTGCACTGGAGTTTCAATTGAGGGCCTTGTACTTTTGCACTCTTACTGCTTGAGCCATTCTGCCAGCCCTTTTGTTGTGACTTTTTTTTTTTTTTTTTCCAAATAGGGCCTTGCCCAGGACTGACTTTGAACTGGGATCCTCCTGATCTTTGCCTCCTGAGTAGCTAGGGTTACAGTTGTGAGCCACCTGCATGGGCTTATTGACTACGTAATAAGATGGGGGGGGTCTCACTAGATTAAGATGGTTGCCCAGCCCCCAAACTCTCCTTCAACCATGATCCTCCTGATCTCCACCTCCCAAATAGCTGGGATTACAGATGTGAGCCAACACACCGAGCCTTATACAATATTTTTCAAAACATTTCCTTCAATATCTTGTGAAATAGTAATTTGTGAGCCTTTAAATAAAATGGAAAATGTCATTTCGGTAAAGCTTTCAGGTTTCAGTATTTACCGTCCATCACTCAGGAGAAATGAAGGGGAGAAGCAAAACCAGTTTTCTAAAGTATTAAAATACACATGCACTGGGAAATATTTTGTTTCAGTGCAAAGCTTACATCTTGGTGAATCATTTTCATTGGAACGTTTTGATTGCAGTTGTGCCCGCACCGAGGCATAAATTGGCTGGACGACTGGCTTGGAGCAGTGGGAAGGTAACTAGCCCATCTCCTATGAAACCGTCTGTATGTTCTATGACTGCACACACGGGTGCAGAGAAGTTCTCCAGCACTGGTTAAACCTCAGGAGAGAAGCGGGGAAATCCTACATTCTGGAGTGGTTCTCCCAGAGAGCTCGGTCGCCCTCTAGGTTGCATTTATCAGCAGTTTGGTGAAGCAACTCTGGCTACTTCTCCATGGAGAGGAAGGGGGAAGGGACCGGATCCCTCTCTGTAGGACTATCTAGACCAAAGAAAGAGGCTGGCGACAGGAAGGAAGATCAAGCGTCTGAATAGCGGCCACAGGGCCACCTAAAAAGCCGGTGCAGTGTTACAGGCGCGTCACACGCAGCTCTCTCGTCTCCCCCCTCTCCTCCTACCCCCCACTGCCGTGTGTCACCTTCCTGTTCGGAAGTCTTAGTAGGTTGCTGGGACAGAACAGGGGGCGCCTACTCCACCCATCAGGTATCCGGTTGGAAGAAAAGCCAGTCTCAACAACTTGATTCTCTCTGTTAAATGATAAGTTTGGCAGACCATCCGTCTCCGAGTGCCGAACACTAGGGGAGGGGGAGGAGGGGCCCATCAGACCGTTCCTCTTCTGTTCCAACCACAAATAGATGGTTGTGCCTCTTCTATTCCACTCAGAGCCCTGTAACTTGAATTCCATGTTCCTCCCGGAATGACTGCCACAGGGTTTCTTTGAGAAAATGTTTGAGAAAATGAACCGTGTGCATGTGTTTTGAATTCTTTCTGGACCGATTTGTGATGATAATCAGTTCAGTTACATTTCTTGTGTGTCTTGCTGGGGGTGTAATAAACCTCGGTCGCTGATGACTGTAATTTTCTGGATGATGTTGCAACGGGGAATAAATGGCCCAGTGTTGAACTTTGCAGCTTGCTCCCTTCCTGTATGTAAATTCCCTGGATATAAAGTGGGGTTCATAACAGAACGGGGAGAGCCGCCTCTGGCTGGTGCTGTCCTGTCATCTCAGAGCTTCCAACCTTATTAGAGACACCAAGCCTAGAGGCTACTGCAGACACAACTGGTTCTCCCTCCTGCCTCCAGAAAGTAATCCCTAACCTTCATATACATCCGGGGTGACCTGAAGAATGAAAGAGGGGGCTATAAAATCCCCTTGGAAAGGTGGGTACTTTTGAGTACTACAGTTTGGATGGGATGGTAGCACAAAGATGTCTCAGGGAATTTGGAGTTACTTGATATGGCAAAGACATAGGCGGTTGCCTGTAGGGCAGGATCTCTGTTGTAAAGTTTATTTTATTTATTTATTTATTTAGGACAGAGTCTTGCTATGTAGCCCAGGCTGGCCTCCAACTCACAATCCTCCTGCCTCTTCTTCCCAGTACTGAGATTACATACGTGAGCCACCAAGCCCAGCCAGGGAAGTTTTTAAATTTAATGTTTTAAAACAAATACCCAAGAATCTTTCAGGAGGTTGATGTTTCTGGGTAATCTAAACAAACCTGCTGTCTAGAGGTGAAGGAACCAGGTGGGTGGGGAGCATGACTGGGTAGCCAAGGCTAGTTGAATGGGGAGTGTGGGGGGGGGAGGTCTGGCAATTGCAAAATAGTCTTTTATGAAAAATCCTTGCGTGGGGGAACAGGCGTGGTCCTGTTACTGTGCTTTGGAATTGCCTGAACCTTGCTTTAGGTCCAAACCTCAATTTCAAGCAATAAACTGCCTTTTAAAGAGAAGACACTGAGTAAAATTTGCCCACCAGTCTCCAGGAGAGAGGATGTAGGCCCTTTTCTCCCAATTTTTGGCTGTCAAGAAAAAGACAGCTAAAGATACTATTAGGGCAAATGAGGTGCAAAACAAACTGCTGCTCAAGACGGAGGGAAAGCGTTTCCCACGCTATTCCTGGTTCAACAGCTGGTATTTTGGAGTGTTTGCAGGGTCCTTGGGCAGTAAAGGGGTCACAGCAGGGCAGCCACCGCAGACAGCACCAGCAGGCGCCAGGTACCGGCCCTGCAAATATTGGAACTTGGAGCGGTCTCTCCCGCTCCTGGCCCAGAGGTGGTGCTGCAGCTTCCCGGCCAGCACTGGCCTGTGTCCCCGCGCCAACGACCAGACGGCAGCGTCCAGGCATCTCCCAGCGGCGGGGTTACTGCAAGGCAACAGCCTCGCTGCTCTGCCTGGCCCGGGCCATCGCCTCCATCTTCCCTTTCATCTCTGCTTTTTTGAGCGTCCCGGCTAATCTTGTCAACTGATCAAATTTAGATGTGTGTGAACTTGAGAGAAAAAGCGAGGTGGCAAAACTAAGATGACTCGGGTCAGCCTCGAGGGGAGGGAAGATGAGGACAAACGAAAGGATTTTAAAGCAATGCAGTGATCTTGCAGGGTTTTCATGTGGGAGAGCGGAAGAGGAGCAGACCCCCCCCCCAAAGCAATTGGAATCTACGATGCTGGCCCGAGTCATGCCAGGCCACTGCAAAGCCACTGTTCCCCCTTAACTCCACCTTCTCACGTGCTCTTAGCATGGCGAGGATTAAAAATGCAAGGCAAAAAAATTACATGCGGAACGGACAGAATGTTCTCAGAGATTACTTGCGGGGGGCAGTGAAATGCAAATTGTGCTTTTTGCCCCTTTAGAGCAGAGACTTACTCTATTTCCGCCCCCTCCCCTACACATTCCTGACCCTTCACTCCCCCCTTCCCTTTTTTTTTTTTTTTTCCTTCCCTTCCTTCCTCCCCTTCCAAGTTCTGGGATTTTTCAGTCTTACTTGGTTTTGGCCAAAAGCACAAAAAAGGCGTTTTCGGAAGCGACTCGGCCGTGCACAAGGGCCATTTGTTTGTTTGGGGACTCAGGCAGGAAATCTTGCCCGGCCTGAGTCACGGCGGCTCCTTCAAGGAACGTCAGTGCTCGCCGGTCGCTGTCCCCGTTGCGCGCCCCGCCGACTGCTGCCCATGGGGGAGATGCAGGGCGCGCTGGCCAGGGCCCGGCTCGAGTCCCTGCTCCGGCCTCGCCACAAAAAGAGGGCCGAGGCGCAGAAAAGGAGCGAGTCCTTCTTGCTGAGCGGACTGGGTAAGCGCGCCGTACGCCGCCACGCCGGGGACTCGGGGAGTCGCTGGGCTCCCGCCGGGGGCGCATACTCCGGACGGGGCTGGGTTTGATGGCAGTTCCGAGGGCCGGGAGATGGATGCAGGTCGGGGTGCAGGGCGGTGGCGGAGGGGAGGACAGCACCCGGCTTCCGGGTGACCCCCGCAGACTTGGGCGCACTGCGCCGCCTGCGTCCCAGATAGCCTCGGGCAGGTTCCGCGCGCGGGGCCGGGGCTGGGGAGGCCGAGGTGGGAATGCAAAGAGAAGACGCGTCCTGGGCGCCGGCGGAGAGGGGGACTCTGCAGGGAGGGTGCAAACCGGTTCAAAGCCACCCGATCGCCACGCTTGGGACGGAAAGCCCCTCCGCGCGGCGGCCCCGATTTCCTGGCCTCGCGCAATAAATGTTAAAAAATGGAAATTCACCCCGGGTTCTCCATCCCTCTTCGCCCCCCTCCGCTTGCGCTTCCTCTTTCTTTCTCCGGCCCTGGCCCGTTGGAGCGTAAGAGCCGCGCAGCGCCGCGCCGAGCCCTCCCCGCGCAGTCCCGGAGCCCCGCGCCCCCGCCCCCGCCCGGGGCTGACCCTCTTGCCCCTAGCCAAACCGCCGCAGCGGGATGCTTAACTGCCGGCCAATGAGCGGTGGCCGGGGCGGGGCCGGGGGCGGGGCCTCGCGACTTCCTCCTTGCTTCGTGGCCCCGCCCCCGCGGACGGCAGTGTTAATATAAAGCCGGCCGCGCGGCCCGAGCGCAGTGTTGGCTGAGCCGGTCTCCTACCCGCCTCTCTTGCGGCGCTCTCTTCCTGGCAATGACCGTGAAAACCGAGGCTGCTAGAGGCGCCCTTACTTACTCCAGAATGAGGGGAATGGTAGCGATTCTCATCGGTGAGTGTAGGAAAAAAGAGCCCACGTCTGCTCCAGGATTCCCGAAATGTTTGACGATCCCGGATCAGATTAGAGTGTGGCGTCGGACGTTACCAAGCTGTCTCTCTAAACGTTTCTTTCTTTCTTTAATTCACAGCATTTATGAAACAGAGAAGGATGGGCTTGAACGACTTTATTCAGAAGATTGCCAATAACTCCTATGCTTGCAAACAGTAAGTTCGGGGGAATTGGAAGAAATAAAAATAAATAGTGTGCTTAGAATTTGTCATCAGCAAACACTCATTCTCATCAGTTTGTTCAGCGGGAAGGGTGGAGATCTCTTTTTCTCCTAAATTCTAATTTATCCGAAACGTTTTAAATCTTAAAAGTAATTTGTGGGTTGCGCTTCTCAGTGTTTACCTAATTTACGCCCTCTCGGCATGAACAACCCTACTTTCTGAATTTACCTGGGTTGTCATTTTTCTTTACCTATTAAAGAGATGTTAAGTAATTTATTTGGGTGTTTTGTTTGAATACGGAATTCTCCGCGAGCATTTGAGCCAGACAGTCCTTGTTTATGTCATCCCGCCCCCTAGTGGCTACTTAGCAGTTTCTAAATTGTTTCTTTATCTTCTGCAGCCCTGAAGTTCAGTCCATTTTGAAAATCTCCCAACCTCAGGAGCCTGAGCTTATGAATGCCAACCCTTCTCCTCCAGTAAGTGCTCTGTGATGAATGCATGGAGTACTTGTGAACCGGGGGATTACAATAGCAATTCTAGAAATTATTACCAAGACAGGAATGCCTCATTAGTTCACAACTTACCAAATGATAACAAGTATTTATTGAGTCAGTGGAGTATTTTTAAAAGCATATTTCATTAAAATTTTACCTGTCTGTAACAACATAGTTGTGTGCAATTTCCATTCTTAAAGTAATGACATGTATTGGTAGGTGTTTGGTGACTTGCCTTAGTCATTTGTAGCTACAATGTCTTACAAGACCTATGTTTTACTATAGATGTCTTTCCTTGAACTAATGATATTAAAGGAGCATGTTTTATTTTCTAGCCAAGTCCTTCTCAGCAGATCAACCTTGGTCCGTCATCCAATCCTCATGCTAAGCCATCTGACTTTCACTTCCTGAAAGTAATCGGGAAGGGAAGCTTTGGAAAGGTAATTTCAAATCTTAAAGTTTTACATACTCCTTCATTTTATATTCTCCCTGGATGAGACTAGGAAGAAAACTGATTCCTTTTGGTTGAAATTTCAGGTTCTTCTAGCAAGACACAAGGCAGAAGAAGCCTTCTATGCAGTCAAGGTTTTACAGAAGAAAGCGATCCTGAAAAAGAAGGAGGTATGACTAGCACCTGATGGGTTGGGGTCAAAGGTGTAGACAACTGATGATTAATCTTTATCTTGGGCTTTTGGCGCCATGTTGAAATTTACCTCTGAATCTTAATTGTATTTTTTTTTTTAATAGGAGAAGCATATTATGTCAGAGCGGAATGTTCTGTTGAAAAATGTGAAACACCCTTTCCTGGTGGGCCTCCACTTCTCTTTCCAGACTGCTGACAAACTGTACTTTGTCCTGGACTACATTAATGGTGGAGAGGTGAGCTGGGGGGAGAAACCCATCCTTGGGGGGTCTCTGCACAGCCTGCCTGGTTTTAGTTTGAGAAGAAAGTTTTCAAAGACATTTGGGGGGAGGAAAGTTACCAGATTTAGCATTTCTTGTAACTCATCAGGTTTCAAATAGTTAATGGATTATTTGGGGCTACTTCCTGCAATTGTTCTCTGTAGCTCTGTGTGTCAGGACTAATTAAATGCTGGGGCAGCAGCCAGGACTAACTTTGCTCTGTCTCCTGCAGCTCTTCTATCACCTCCAGAGGGAGCGCTGCTTCCTGGAACCACGGGCTCGATTCTATGCTGCTGAAATAGCCAGTGCCTTGGGTTATCTGCACTCTCTGAACATCGTTTATAGGTGAGTCAGAGCTCATAAAGCCACCTTCCTGGGTAGGGAGGGGACAGGGCACTGGCCTTTATTGCAACCTTAATAATCATGTGTGTTTATGTGCAACTTGGCCACCTCAAACCTGATTCCCTAGCATGTGAGCTGTCTTGACTCTATGCTAGGGAATCAGCCAACTAGGATTGTGCCTAATCCAGAACAGATTAACAGAACAAGGACTTCCTTTTTTAATTCACTCTGCAACTGCTTCTTGGATTTAAAATGCTTCTAATAATACTCTTAGTAATTATCTTTACTGAGGATTTTGAAAGTGAAATTAACCTATAGAACCACTTGTCTTTTTTTTTTTTATATAGAGACTTAAAACCAGAGAATATTTTGCTAGATTCACAGGGACACATTGTCCTTACTGACTTTGGCCTCTGCAAGGAGAACATTGAACACAATGGCACGACATCCACCTTCTGTGGCACACCTGAGGTAGGAGCTCTTGATCTGGTGCCTGGACTATACCCACCTTCCAGTTAAAGCCTTTAACTACCAAAGGAATAAACTCTTAGTGCAAGTAAAATAGATATACTGTTTGATGCAACATGAGACATTCCAAGGCCTTCTGTTGCTTTAATTGAAATTAGCTGTCATTAAAGCTCTCTTAATTAAGTCTCCAAATAAGATACCTGTAGGTACCCAGTTGTTTCCTGTATATCAGGACACATGAGGATGGGGGGAGGAGAAGGGACAGATAGCCTCAAAAAGTATAGAGGTTTTACTAGGAAGCAATCTAAAGAAATATATTCTCCAAGTTTACTCTGGGTCTCAACCATCCCAAAGTGCATGCCTGGTGGTGGGACTGCCAGATCACACAGGTCCTCAACTCTTTTCCTGGCATGTCTTTCAGTATCTTGCACCGGAAGTGCTTCATAAGCAGCCTTACGACAGGACGGTGGACTGGTGGTGCCTGGGGGCTGTCTTGTATGAGATGCTCTATGGCCTGGTGAGTAGGACACAGGGAACCATGGGACAATGCCCCTACTTCCTGATTCTAGAACACTGGCTTCCTGTAGTCCAGATTTACCAACATACAGGCCTGGCTACTGTGGCTTGCCCTTATCAGTTAGCTTATCAAACCTGAATAAGAGACATTTTATAAGTGTGATTTAGTGGGTTTTTCTTCCACATATTTCATAATTTACTAGATAAGACCACACTTAACCTGTGTGGGAGTGAAAACCATGACTTATTTAACATCTTAATTTCAACCCATTCCCATAAGGCTTGCAAAATAGGCATTTAAAAACCCAGGGCAAAGAAAACATCAAGAGAAAGACTATCTCAAGTTCAGCTTAATATATTATAGTTTAACTCTTTCTCTGTTGGTAATATATGCTGAACAAATTGCCAACTAAATGTAAAGTAATTCCTTCCTCCCATTTTTTTTTCCAGCCTCCTTTCTACAGCAGGAACACAGCAGAGATGTATGACAACATTCTGAACAAGCCCCTCCAGTTGAAACCAAATATTACCAACTCTGCGAGGCACCTCCTGGAGGGCCTTCTGCAGAAGGACAGGACAAAGAGGCTGGGGGCCAAGGATGACTTTGTGAGTAGTGCTTTCCTGTTTCTCTGAGCCCTCTGGGTGGTACATAAGACCTCACTGCCTTTATTGAATTCTGCCTGTCTAATCTTGGTTCTCAACAGATGGAGATTAAGAATCACGTCTTCTTCTCCCTAATTAACTGGGATGATCTCATTAATAAGAAGATTACCCCACCTTTTAACCCAAATGTGGTGAGTATCTCTTGTCTAAGTACAACAGTTTCCAAAGAGCATTTCTCTTTAGTCAGAATTGTTGGGTGGGGGACTTTGAGAAGTAAATTGGCAGATCCTTTATCTGTAGACCTATTGTTTTCCTAGAGAAAAGGAATTTTTACTCCCAACAAAGCTCACAACATTTTTTAATTAAAGTACCAAGAGACAATGACGGGTGTGGTAACCCACACCTCTAATCCCAGCTACTTGGGAGACAGGTAGGAAACCACAAGCCTGGTTCACATAAGAAAGACCCTGTCTCAGAATCCAAGGGACCAACATTACCTGTTTGTGACCTTGCAGTGGAGGAACATGGAAGTTCATATACTGTCCTAAAAGAGTTGAGCTTTGGTATTTAAAATCTAAAGATTTGCCTGTCCTGTACCCTGTGTGCATTTTGATACTGAGTGTGTTTCTCCCTTTCTGTAACAGAGTGGACCCAGCGACCTGCGGCACTTCGACCCTGAGTTTACCGAAGAGCCTGTCCCCAACTCCATTGGCAGGTCCCCTGACAGCATCCTCATCACCGCCAGTGTCAAGGAAGCTGCAGAGGCATTCCTGGGCTTTTCCTATGCGCCTCCAATGGACTCCTTTCTCTGAACAGGCTTAGGTGGTCTTGAAGGATTTTATGTGTGTTTTTAAATGTTTTTGTTAGCCTTTTGATGGAGCTGCCAGCTGACAGGACATCTTAAAAGAGAATTTGCACATCTCTGGAAGCTTGGCAATCCTATTGCACACTGTTTGCTGGAAGCTTTTCAAAGAGCACATTCTCCTCCCAGTGAGCTCGTGAGGTTTTCATTTTTATTCTTCCTTCCAATGTGGTGCTATCTCTGAAATGAGCATCAGAGTGCCGCCCTGCACAGATGCAATAGTCTGGTTAGAAGGAAGATGCTGGTCTAAGAGGGTTCTCCAGGTCTGTCTGGGCAGAGGTAACGACTATTCTGACATGTGCCTTTCCTGATGAGATCGTGTTAGCTCCAAAGCTTTTGCTGTCACCAAGTGTTCACTTCTTTTTTTTTCCCCTCGTGGGTTTACTGTGTGGACAGTGGTATGAGTGTGGGATGCCTGATCACAGATGGGTTTTGTTATAAGCATCAATGTGACACTTGCAGGACACTACAATGTGGGACATTGTTTGTTTCTTCCATATTTGGAAGATAAATTTATGTGTAGACTGTTTTTTTGTAAGATATAGTTAATACTAAAATTTATTGAAATGGTCTTGCGATGACTTGCTTCCAGATGCTTAAAGAAAGCATTGCTGCTACAATATTTCTATTTTTAGAAAGGTTTTTATGGACCAATGCCCCAGTTGTCGGTCAAAGCCGTTGGTGTTTTCATTGTTTAAAACGTCACCTGTAAAATGGGCATTATTTATGGTTTTTTTTTTCTTTTTGCATTCCTGATAATTGTATGTATTGTGTAAAGAAAGTCTGTACATTGGGTTAGAACACTAGTGTATTTAAACTTGCAGGCTTATTTGTAATATAAACCACCATTTTAATGTACTGTAATTAACATGGTTATAATATGTACAATTCCTCTTCCCCACCACACAACTTTTTTTGTGTGTGATAAACCAATTTGGGTTTGCAATAAAACCTTGAAAAATATTTACATAAATTGTGTCATGTGTCATTTTGTGTATTTCGATGAAAAGTAATAATGGATCCATTTAAAACCATGAAAAATGTTATTTCCAATTGGTTTGCTTCCAGTAGCAGGGGCTTCTGTCTTAAGACCACAGGCCTGTATTTCTAGTCCTTTTAGAAGCATTTTATGATGTCAGTTTATCCAAATAAATCCTTTTCAATTTGCTCTTCTTTGGAGGACAGCTGTAAAGTAATGCTCCCTATATTTATTGCCTGGTCTGTGAAGTTGGACTGTCTGTCCCCACATTTGGCTTAAATTAAGTAGCAGGTAATTCTTTCAACAAATCTTTGTGAGCCTGCCTAGTCCAGCCAGGCTCCATCCTATGTGCTGGGGATATGGGAGTGAACAACACAGATGTGGCTGCCTTGACTGAGTCTGCTAGAAAAGGCAGATTTGAAGCAGTTTGCTGAAATAGAAGTCAATGTGACAATTTGCAAGTGCAGGTGAACACCACTAAGAGGGTTTGTTTTCTTTCTCTGGCAGTTCTGGCGTTTGAAGTCACAGGGCTTCATGTTTGCTAAGCAAGTGCCCTACCACTTGAGCTACACTTCAGCCTGACCTACCAACTAACACACACACTTTATCTCTCTCCTCTCTTTTTCCACAATACTAGAGTTTGGAGTTAGAGCACTCTATCATGTCCCTGCCCTTTTATTTCGCACAGGGTTAGTGTCAAATCGTGACCCTCCTCCTACTGCCTCATGTGTAAATGACCCTACACTCAGTCACCAACTCTGGCTTGTATTTTGAGATGGGGGTCTCAAACGTTTTGCCTTGCCTGGCCTCAAACCATGGTCCTTCTGATTTTTGCCTCCTGAGTAGCTAGGATTCTAGGCATGCACCAACACACTGTAGCAGATTTCGGGTTTCTCAAGAGTACCCAGAGCAGGCTCAGAAAAGGATCCTGAGGGAGCATATTCCTGGTTTGACGCAGAGCCCTTGCAAGTCTTGGTGAACCCATACTTCAAGGGCTGGGCAGGCTCTGGGTCTGACCTGCCGTTTCTTCCCTAGAGTTCATCCACTGGAATATGGAATGTGGGAGAAAGAAAGGTCACAGAATGTTAGGAGAGCATCCAAGTCCAAGTCATCTAGACTCTCTTACTTTTCAAGCCTGTCACACAAACTCCTAGCAAGTGAGGAGTCCCCAAGCACTTGATCTTGGTGCCACCTTGGCTTTCCCAGTACTGTACACCTGCTGCTTTCACTCCACCCTGACCTTCAGTTTGTTCAGGGATTTCCCCAAGGGAAAACTTTCCTAACTTTCCTCCCTTACTTCCCTCCCTCTCCCCCTCCTCCAAGGCTTCGAAGGGCTGAACAGTCCACAAATCTAATGAAGGAGAGGGATCTAAGCAAGTTGAAGACTTGCCACTCGAGGTAGCCCCGGGTAAGGCCCTGCAGTGGCTCAGGCCCTGCAGTGGCTCCTGCTTTGTAGGCATTGGCCACCCTAAGTTCCCCACCAAACCCAAGGACAAACAAACAGAATTCAAAACACAATGCCAGCTCCCAAGGGGATATGGTTGGTCTGTTTCCCCTTTATTCCCATGGTCAGTAACAGTTGAGAATTCTGCCTTGAACAGAAATGCTTAGAACACAGTTCTTAGATTAGGAGCTAATGCAGAGGGGCCAGTTGTAGATTATGAATTTTTGCTTCTTAAAGGTAGAAATTGGCTTACTGGGTTATTTACAGTCAATCGCTATGCAAGATCTGATACACATTTCTCCAGAATTGAAAGGTGACTTAGAAGTTGCAAGTGCTGTCAAACAAGTGGGAGATTAGATCAAACACAACTGGGTGGGAAGGTAAGAACAGGGAAGTCAAGAAAGAACAAGGGATAAATAGACAAATGACAAATATTTACCAAGTCCTGTGATGTCAAATAGCATGTATGCAGGGGAATCTTTTATATGGGAGTGGGGTGGATCCCTGCCAGCATATCCCCAGAGGCCCATCCAGCCTACATCTGATGGTAATGATTTAAAAAAGGGACAACTTGCTTCTCTATACCTCTCCTACTGTGGGTCTGCTCAGATATGGGAATAGGGGGACTTATTCAGCTAATATTCCCACAAGTTAAAATGTGACTTTTTAAAACCACTGCTATTGCTGTGTGCAGTGGTACGTGCCTATAATCCCAGTACTTGGGAGTTGGAGGTAGGAAGAGCTCAAGTTTGAAGCCAGCCTGGGCTACATAGTGAGACCCTATCTCAAAAATAAGCAAAATAAAATAAAACCACTGCTACCCCAAAGAGTAGGTCAGTCAGAATCCTTAGGGAGTTTGCCTTCTCCTGGGGAACACACTGCACCTACCCACAATATATGACAGATGGTAAGTGTGGGGTGAAAGAACTTCAGAAGTCCACAGGCTGCCCATGGGCGCAGATGCTGGAGAGGCCCTAAGATGACCAATTCTAGTTCTAGGGACGCTGGGCCTTGAGGATCGGACAGTCACAGAATAGCTCAGCTCACTCAACTCCTACTATATGGCCAATATTGCTCCAATTTATTCAATCCTCATAATAAACCTGTGATGTCAAAGTGGGGCAACCAGAACAGGAAGATAAATTTAGAGCAGAAAGTGGCGAGGTCAGAGGTCAAATCCCAACAGTAGCCCAAACCCCGTCCACGCTTGCAACCATTACTTTATCCTGACATGAAGGTGACAAATGAATATGAAAGCAAACAAATGTGTGGATGTTTGTCATCCGTTTATTAGTTCACCAGATTTTACAAAGTTGCCTTGTAGGCGTCATGTTAAATACAGCGAGGAGAGGGACAGGGACAGATACAAGGAGAGAGAAAATTTGCAATTGTAGACATGATCAGTGACTGATGAGGATGTGGAACAGCCACAAAAGCACACAGTGCATTGAAAAATCATTTGGCATATGGAATAAAGACAAACGTGTATGACTTATGACCCTACACTTCGGTATATACTCCAAAGAGGGTATGTGCAGTCCATAAAAATGTTTCAGTAATGTTCACAATACTGTTCTTCATGTTAGCTCCCAAATAGGAACAATTCAAAATATCCACCAATAGAAAAATGAACAAATTAGTGTGATTTCATATAATGGAATACTATGTAATAAAAATGAACGAAGAATGGCTAGACACAACAAGGAGGAAATCTCATTAAAAAAAAAACAGACTGTATGATTTGATTTGTATACAATTTACAAGCATGCAAAGAAGATGAATGGATTTAGAGGCTGAGCTGTGATTGCCCTTGGGGAGGATGGTGAAATTATTACTTGAGAGGACGTGAGTGTCATGGTCTTTAGGGTGCTATTAATTACTTAATCTGGTGAGTGGGTGTTTTTTATAAAACCATACGCTTATGATAATATCCTTTTTTCTGTATTTATTATATAAAAAAACTAGAACTATTTGTAAAATTTTGAGGTATGACAAAAACAGGAAGGCAAGGGAACACATCGGAGGGACCCCTTACCCAATCTGCGGGTCAGGTCAAGGAATGAAGTTTGTCTGTCACAGGCGGAAGTGGATCTTGAAAGAAGGGCATGCCAGCCACCAATGTGGGTGGTGGTGGTGGTGGTGGTGGTTATGGTGGTGATACCTGAACATAGTGAATGGGATATTTGCCAAAGCAAGGGGAACAAACAGACCTGGATTAGAATTCCAGCTCTAGGAGTAGTTTTCCAGTTTGGAGCAAGTAGTGCCTGCGGCAAACCTCTTGTAACTGGTTTTTCCAGGAGGAGAAATGCAGCCAGTGTTCATGTCTTCCCAGTCATCACTGACAGCAGGCCAAAGGAATTGGTATTCAAAGAATGCTGTTGGATCTCTTCCTTCCCCACCCCACTGCCCCTCCAACTTCTCCCCCTTGATCTTAGATTTTAGGAGGAGATTTAAAAGCAGTGGTAAATGATTTTGAATCGAGAAATAGATCTTGTCATCCATGTTCTTAGAAACCTCTTAGAGGAGTTTAGATTTCATGAGGCAGCAGAGGAAGGTGTTAGGAGGTTTTCCATGAGGAAAACAAAGTGATCAAAAGGAGGGGGGTGCTGGTGAGAGAGTGAAGAGCACTTTAGAATAATAATGACAACAACTACAATAAAAGGAGCCACTTAAAAGACGTCTGACAGCCATCCCAGTGATGGTGGCTACAAAACAGAGAAGAGATGTTTTGAAGGTCCCAATCAATGGGGTTATTGGAATGGAGGAAAAAGGACGACTCTAAAGCAAAACACATGTAATGTATTTTTGTTAATGTAATTGACCGCTTATTGAAGTGTTTGTCACAACTGCAGTAGCTTCTAGGACAGAGGCCATCCACTAGCCAATCAATAATTAATCAATTTAGTTAGCAAGGCAAAAATGTCACAGACTGTAGCTGGTAAGGAGGAATTCTTCTCATCCATCGAAATTCTCCAAAATCCTAATTCCTTGAGCCTTTGAGCCTTATAGTGGAAACACTTTTCCAGGTGCTAATCAGATTATTTCCATTAAAAGAAATGAGCTCATCCTAATAATTAAGCCCAATTTCAGAAGTTATGTAAATGTTTTTCTCATTGCATGAAAATCATTAACTAATTACCCAAACCAAAATGTAAGTTATTATTACTTAGACTTCACCGTGGCTTATGTGTTCTCTCTCCTGGGTTGATTTGGCTTTCCAGATGAAAGCACATTTTATATATATATATATATATATATATATATTCTCTGCCCTCCCCTTGCTTTCTGTGAAGGACTCTATCAGCAATACCTAGAGCAGTCTTCCTTGTTTACTTAGCGTTTACCTGTTACACTCTGTTCAGACAGCTATCTTTGTGTATTTGGATGCCGTGGAGTCTTATGGGCAGAGTGCTCGGTTTCCTTTATTCTGTGTCCTCTGTCCTGTGCTCCACCTGGTGTGTCCTAGCAGGCATGATGACAATGCTGTGACGATAATATACGAGGTACAGACTGTTCAAGAAGACATACAAGCAGACGGCTCCCTCTCTAC